CGCCCCTCAGCGCGCGCGCCGCGAGGCATGACGGGAGGTGTAGTTCTACAGGGTGGGTATGGGTACGAGGGGAGAGGTGAGGGATGGAGAGAACTCGGGTTCGAGACCCGCGTGGGGTGCGACTCGTTGAAATCGTCGCATTAGAGAATTGTAAAATACATTGTAGAATGCTAGAAGTTTAGGGGTTGGAATGGAGCTTGGAGATCATTCAGTGCTAACTCCTTGCCCTGGGCAAGGGACAACCTCCCACCAGAACAGGTTGCTCAAGGTTCATCCAACCTGGAATGAACACTGCCAGGGTTGGGGCAGCCACAGCCTCCCTGGCCAACACCCTCACAGCAAAAAAACTTCTGCCTGAGATCTCATCTCAATTCCCTCTTTCCGTTTCTCCCCATTGCTCCTTGTCCTGTCCCTGCAGTTCCTAACACAGATCCCTCTGCAGCTTCCCTGGAGCCCCTGCAGCTCCTGGCAGGTTGTTCTGAGGTCCATGATTTCATAGATTGTAGGAATCCCACCCTGTGTCTGAGAGCATTGGTTAAACACTCCTGGAGCTCTGTCAGGCCATGACCACTGCCCTGGGGAGCTGTTCCAGTGCCCAAACACCTTCTGGGGGAAGAACCTTGTCCTAATGTCCAACCTAACTCTCCCCTGACACAACTTCAGGCCATTCTCTTGGGTTCTGTCACTGATGACAGAGAGAAGAGGTCAGTGCCTGTCCCTCCACCTCTCCTGGATCATATGAGATCTGGTTTAGGGTTTAGGAGTTACAGTACTGACAGGTTGGACTTGATGATCTTAAAGGTCTCTTCCAACCTTGATGATTCCATGATATCATCCAAAACCAGGTCCAGACACCTCTTAGACGCTTCCAGGGATGGGACTGTTCCCCTTCGAGGCAGAGACAAGCCTGGCATGTCACCAGGGTGAGGTGGCAGGTGCACCCCAAGATAAATCCAAGCCTACAAACCAGGCACATGTCTGGTGTGACACCAGCAAAGCATTTCCTGGTGCCTCAGTTTACTCAACTACCAAAATACTTCCCAGTGCCTCAGTGTACCGAACTGGCAAAGCATTTCCGTCCTGTGCCTCAGTTTACCCAACCAGATGGGGCAGGGGAGGTGACAGCATGGCATGTGATGGTGGCACTAATGGGTGTCTCTCTCTCCCTCAAGCTGATTGATGTCCTGGTGTGGAACCACCACTCCCACATTCCTGACCTTGGAATCACCTCATAAATTGGCCTCAGCACTTCCTGACTATGTGGTGAGGCGATACAGCCAAAGAATCCCCAAAAGTCCAAGAAAAGGGGGAATTTCATCCCAAAAGTTTGTGTCTTCGTGGTGATTCCCTGCATTTAATGCCCCAATGCTTCCTCCTCATGTGAGGAAGAGAGACAGCCCGAGAATCCCCAGAAGGCCAAGAAAAGGAGAAATTTCATCCCACAGGTGTGTGTTTGGGGGGTAATTTCCTCCATTTAATGCCCAACACACTTTCCAGCAGGAGGGATCACACCCTGAGGTGGATCATCACATCCAGGGTGAGCTACACTGAGGGGAATTTGGGAGGAGCAAAGGGGTTTATATCTGGAGCAGAGCACCTGGAGAAGCTGAGATAGAGGGTCTTCTACTTTCCCAGCCACAATGCTCCCTGACTGGGAGAGTTCCAACTGGGAGAACAGAGGAAAAAAAAAAAACCAAGATTTTCTCTTAATCTCTTGGAATCCTTAGGGATGACCTTGGGGATGCTCTTTCTGGGACACCTTGAGGCCACTCTTGCAGCACTCAGACCTTTCTATGTGGGTGCAGAGGGAATTTGGGGATCCTCTGAGCCCTCCTGGGGTGCATGGGCAGGGGGATGAGCACAAGGACATTGTCCTGCCTGACCCCCATGGGTTGTGGGATGGTTCCCTGACCACAGTGGGACAGACAAAGTGGAGATGGAGAGCAAAGGGGGTGTAAGAAGCGATGGAGAATTGCAGGAAACCATTGGAAATGGTGGAGGGAGAGCTCTGGGGAGCTACAGGGACCCATAACAGGTTGTGGGGAGCTATAAGGAGTGTGTGGAGCTCTGAGGGACTACAGGAAACCATGAAGGGGCTGTTGGGGCCAGGAGGATCTGTAGGTCCAAGCAGGAGGGGAAAAAGCTCCTCCATGCCCATCCCACCCCTCTGGATTGGAGGTATCCTCAAAGGGGATGAGGCAAGATGAGATGCAGGTGAAAGCCCAAAGCTGGGGCTGGGGAAACAGAGGGAAAGGCTCCTCCTCCAATCATCTGCTCCAAAAATAACAGGGAATGACATGTCCCTGTGCCTTCACCCACATCCACGTGGCTGTGACAGACCTAGGGTGAGGAGCTCCAGCTTTGTCTGGGTTGTGTGGAGCCTCATCCCTCTCCAAATCCCCTTCCTCAACATATTCAAAGATGGAGATGACAAATCAGGGTTGCCCTTCTTGCTTTCTTCTTCCCCTTCCATGGAGACCACTCCTTCCCCACCACCCCTCAAGCCATGGGAAGTCTAACCCACCTCTTCCCAGGTTTTGGCTGCATCCCACCCCATAGCCTGGGGGATTTATCACCTCCAAGAGACCATCACCCCCCAACTAAACCTGCTTCAGGCAGAGGGTGGCCAGGGGCTGAGGCAATAGCAAAGTGCCCCCTGATCCCACAAAGACGAGGGATGCAGGAGCCACATGCCAGATCCAGAACTCCTCCTGCCTCAGGAAGAAGCATCACATCAACAGCAAGGAAAAAACCAACAAAACTGAAATGTTTATTCCCACCTGGTGTCACCTCCCTGTGCTGTTGGTGGTGAGTCACAGCTGGGCAAGTGTCACCTCGCGAGGTGACAGCATCTCCTCATCACCCCACGTGCCCAACAGCACATCTCAGCTCCAGGCAGGCTGTAGGAGCCCTTGGAGCCAAGGTTCCAGCAGCAGTTTGGAAGGCAGAGGCTTCAGGGAAGGCAGGAGGGAGGAGCAGAGGGGCCCAGTGGTCACTGAGTGCTCTGTTTGCCATGGAGCCTCCTTGTCCTCCCATTCCAAGGGCATGGAGCTTCCCCAAGAAGAGCTGAGCATAGGATTCCTGCTCGGTGCCAGCCAGGCAGCAGCTTCCAGAGGCTGCTCAGGAGGAATTCATGTTCTCCCACTGCCGGAAAATGCGGAATACCTTGCAGGACTTCTCAGAGAGGCTCTGCAAGAAATAGGAGAAAAGAAACAGGCAGAGGTCAAGGCACTGGGTTAGGACCTGCCACTAAGCTCATCCCAGCAGCAAAAATCCCATCCAAAATATCCCACTTGGCTGCCAGGACAGCACTTTGTCCCTTTTCTTCATAATCCCTATTTACAAACTGGAGGGGAAAAGGACAAAGTGACCACAAGGAAGAAGCAAGATGAGACTCCAACCATCCCCTGCTCCAGCTAGGTCTGGTGCCTCTGGCTTGGGTATGGTCCCACTGGTTTGTGCTGGAAAGGACCTTAGAGACCATCCAGTTTCAACCCTCTTCCATGGGCCGAGACACCTCCCACTCGAATGGATCAGCATGTGGGGACACAACTCCGAGTCCCCAAGACAAATGCTGAAGCAGGACAGCTCCACTGTTCCTCCAGCTCAGCCCCAAGCCAAGCAGGAGGAATCCAAGTGGATAATGAGGCCTGGAGAGGCAGCAGGAGGTTGCAGCTGCTCCATAGTCACTCAGGGAGGGGGTTGTGGCCTCAGCTCTGCTGCCCTGGCTTGGCAAACCCACCAGCCTGGAGCTGGCAGCCACAGGAGCAGCCAGGATGGCTGTGGAGAGGGACAGAAGCTATGGAGACATGGAATGAAACTGGATCTGGGAAAGGCTGTTATTTATAGCAGCTCTGGGCACAACACCTGGTTGGGAAGGACGAAGCCTGGCTCAGGGGCTGCCAGGGGGGGAAGCTGAGACCCTGCAGACACACTCCTGGTCCTTGTCACCCAGCTGGCTCTGCATTCAGCCCAAACACAGCCACATCTCCTCCCTCCTTCTGGGGCTGGGGACCCTGGAGGCTCACCATTGGCTCTGTCTCAGGCACCGTGTCACATTTTCGGGTGGAGAGGAGTGTGTTCAGCACCACTTGCCAACCTGGCCCTGCCTTCCTGGGCTCCTTCTCCGTGGCAGAGTCCTCCAAGGATCCTTCTCCCTCCCCTGTGCTGACCCAGGGACACCAGTCACGATGCTGAGAGCTGGGATGGAAGAAGCTCCTCAGAGAAGTATCCTGGGGGAGGAGAAGAGGTGACAGTGAAGCAACACAACCACAGGATGCTTTAAAACATGATGACATGACATGATAGAAGCTTCTCCACGCCTAAACACCAACCCTGAGCTGGCTGCGGAGACAACAGGGATCCCTGGATGAGGATCAGCCTTCCCAGATCCCACCCAGGCTCTCCTTGAGCCTCCACCCAAGATGACTCACTGAGCTGCTGGAAGAGCAGAGCCGTGGGCGCTTGGCCCTGCGGAGAGGACTGGAAGGCACCTCCATGCTGTCCCCCTGGCCCATGCTGCGGGTGACAGGGCGGCTCCGGGGGCTGGGACTGGTCACCTCCAACTCACTCTTCTCCATGGAGCTGGGAGAATCCCAACCCCGGGGCCGAGAGGCTGCTGGGGATGGGCTCTTCTCCTGCTGCCAGGGAGGAAAGGACAAGGGGTAAGCAGATATCTTCTGGTCACCAGCATGGCCCTGGTCTGAAGGGCTCAAAGATGACATCAAAGCCTTCTCAGCCATCCAGCAGGAGCTGTGCCATGTTCCCTTCACTCCAGAAGCACCTTGGATGCGTCTAGCTGGGCATGGGTGAAGGAAGTCTCTGGCTTGGACTTAGACAAGCCCTTGAATACTGGCTGGAAAGGCCTTTTATGTACCTGGCTACAGGAGAGCTGAGGGAAGGAAGCACAGAGGGAACACCAAAACATTTGGCTGGAGACACAACACCAAAATGAGTTAGATGGGATATTGGGAAGGAATTCCTGGCTGGGAGGGTAGTAAGACACTAGCACAGGTTGCCCAGGGAGGTTGTTGTGTCCTCATCCCTGGAAATGTTACAGGCCATGCTGGATGGAGCTTGAAGCAACCTGGGCTGATGGGAGGTGTCCCTGCCCTTGGCAAGGGGTGGGACTGAAAGGACTTTGAGGTCCTTCCAATCCAAACCATTCCATGATTCTAAAAGGCAGAGGACACCCAAACTCCATCAGTCTCCACTCTTAGAATCATAAGATCATCAAGGTTGGAGGAGACCTCTAAAATCATCAAGTCCAACCACTAACCTGTCACTGTTGTAACCCCTAAACCCTAAACCTTCCAGTACCACATCCAGACACCTCTTAAACACCTCCAAGGATGGTGACTCCACCATCTCCCTGGGTAATTCCCTATCCCAGTGCCTGAAGATTCCTCTGTACCTCTGTACCACCCAGACACCCTGAGCTGGGCCATACCTGCTCAGATCCTGGAGGAAGAGTGTCCTGGCTCCGTGTGAGCATCCTGTGAGGGGACGTGGGCACAGGCGGGAAGCGCTCGCTGGCAGCTGGTGAAGTGCTGCTTGGGCCACAGGAGTCCTGCTCCTGCCCTGCAGATTCCAGCTGGTGGAAGCCCCACAGTCCCACCTTCCTCATGCACCGGGAGCAGGTGATCACTGAGAGGTGCACAGAGCCAGATGCAGCACTGTGGGGACAGAGGAATCATCATGGAATAACAGAACAGTTAAAGTTGGAAGGATCTTAGAGATCACCTAGTTCCAACGCCTTGCCATGGGCAGGAACATCTTCCACCCAACCAGGTTCCTCCAAGCCCCATCCAGTCTGGCCTGGAACACTTCCAGGGATGGGTAAAGTCAGGAGAGAAGGTCAGGGACAAGCCTCCAGCAGCTTTCCCAGCACCCCCAGAGCATGGCAGACACTCAAGCACTACCCACCTGCAGGTCCAACCACACAGGGCCAGGATGCAGGCAGGAACGTGCACCTGCAGGACTTCTGTGGCAAACTTCACTGGTGGCTTCTCCCCTTCTGTTGTTTTGTGCTCCAGTTCCTCCCCGATGAGCTGGAGGAGCAAACTGATCTTCTCCTCTGTCAGGGACTGTGGAACACAGAAAGGTGGAAGAGATAAAGCACTGTTTTTAGTCACTAACCACATCCTACGTGGAGATAAATCCCTTCTCCACCCACTGGAAGGGCTGAGTGCATCATCCAACACCCTCAGCACTTCTGCTCTGGTTAACAGGCACAGAGCAATGGTTTCCTCCTGCCTTGTGCTCCTAAGACTCTTCCCATTCCATGAACTCTGTCTAAGCACCATCTGCTCCCCAGAGCAGGTCACAGTCCTGCTGTGTCTCCTTTCAGGGGGCTCTGATGGGTTTCAGAGCTCAGCCAAGCCCATGGTGGCAACCACAAAACACCTCTGGGATCACTGCTGAAGGGATGAAGAGTTCCCTGGATCCCACATGGCTCCTGGATGCCCAGAGCCATCTGTTCCCAGTGAGTCTGTGCCCAACAGGCCAGACTTGGCTGGAGCAGAGCAGGGCCAGGCCAGATCCCTGCAAGAAGACAATTTCACACTCATTCCTGGCTGTGGCTTATCTCCAGCCTCCTGTAGCTCTTGTTCTTCTCTCCTGGCTGCTGAGCCTCCATGGGCTTCCTCACCTTCACAGGGCAGCCTCTGGCACCCCAAATTCCTCATCCCACCATTGTCTCCAGTCCTGGGGGATCTCAACTCTCATGGAGTGCTTGGAGGGAACTACAGAAGTAGGAGCTGCCAGGGAGAGCTCCACAGGAGTCTGTGGGATCCTAAATCACTTGTCCCAGGCACATCTTGAATGCTGGGAAGTGGCCCTAGGCCACTTCCCACTGGGAACATTGTGGTAAGCCTTGGAAAAGAGCTTGTATGAAAAATGAGCCTTTCCAAACTCTTTTTTATGTGCTTCCAGAAAAAAAACAAAACTAGGTGAAAGCACCACATGGGGAATGTCCAAGGAGAAATCCAAGGCAGGATTAGACCCCTCACATATACAGGCTGAAGGGTGTGATTTTGGGCATCCCTGGCATCATCACTGAGGCCTGAACACACCTGATTTTGGGGACAGAAGGGAACTCACCATGGTTTTCAGGTCTTCTGGCTTGAGGGAGGGCAGCTGCAGCTCCAGCTGGCACAGGCTCTGGAAGCGATCCAGGAAGTCCTGGAAAAGGGCTCTGGGTTCATCCACCAGCAGCAGGGCAAAGCGATCTGGAGGGAGCAAACACAGGAGGCCTGAGCTGTGCCAGCATTCCCACCCCTCCTCATCTCACAGAGAAAGAGAGGGGATGAAGCCAGCCAAGATCTCCACATAAATCTTGAGGTAGGACAAGAGGGAATGGCCTTAAGTTGAAGGAAGGAAAGGTTAGGTTAGATATCAGGTAGGAATTCCTTGCTGGGAGGGTGCTGAGGCACTGGCACAGGTTGTCCAGAGCAGCTGTGGCTGCTCCATCCCTGGGAGTGTTCCAGGCCAGGTTGGATGTGGCTTGGAGCAGCCTGGGCTGGTGGAAGGTGACCCTGCCCATGGCAGGGGTTGGAACTGGATGATCTTTAAGGTCCTTCCAACCCAACCCATTCCACAATACTGATTTTTTGGCTGAGCACAGCCTTTCCCTTCATGCCCTTCCCTGTCCACTGCAGCTTTGCAGGTAAGATCCACCACCCTGTGTGATCATCCCATGTCACCCAACCTCTCCTGTTCCCTCCCAGTTACCACCCAAAAGGCACTTTAACTGCCCCAGAGACAAACAAAGGTTGAAAGAGGCTGAACAAGCCCAGCCTGGGGCTGCAGCCATGGCTCGCCTGTTCGCTGAGACTGCTCAAGGCTGTGGTGTGTTTCATCCTCCTCACAAGGAAAAGGGGACTGAGATGACACTTCCTGCTCTGAGAACTTGAAAAGGGAGGGAAAATGGAATAATGATGGACATTATCATGCTCTGAGACACTAACCTGGGCAGGGGCTGTCTGGCCAGAAGCAGAACTTCTCATGAGAAGTGCACAAGGCTTTCTTCAGCTCCTCACAGCGTTCCTTGTCTGCAAGGCAAAGCTCACAGCTATTCCCTGCAGAAGCCTCTGGGAATGGCTGGGAAAATCCAACCAGGCAGCAGGCTCCTCTCACTCAGGTGACAGATGCCACCTGAGAGCTTGAAGTTCTCAGCCTCCTTTCCCTCCCCACCAGAAGGGCCTTCAGCCTCCCACAGGTGACCATGGATGGCTCAGGAGTTACCCCCACAACAGCAGTTCCACCTCCCTGCAGCCCAAATTCCCTCCCATTCCTAGTGACCATGGAGCAGGGGAGGCTGTGGAAACACAGCTCAGAGGACCCATGGGCAGAGGGCTCAACTACTCTTACCTCCTCTCCCTAACTTCCCTGATCCTTCAGCCCTGGCTCAGGAGCCAAATCACAGCCGTGGCTGGAAATCAACTACCCCCAAAAGATTTGATACTTAACTTATTCACTTTCAGGACCAAATAATTCCTTTTCCAAGTCCTCCCAACCTCTGATTATTTCAGATTTCCCTAACCCAATGTCATCAGCCACAGAATAATTAGGCCAAGGTTTATTTAAGAGAGATAAACTGAACAAACAAGAGGATGTTGATACAGAGGGATGTGAGAGTCACCAGGGCTGTGCTCCCCGGTAGCTTCCAGCTAACCAGGGCAGGGAACGACAGCCAGGAAAGATGAAGAGTGCAGATGACACTTTGTGGTGGAGTAATGAGGAGCTAATTAATTAAATCACACAATTGAGAATGCCTGGATGGACTAACTTGGTGAGCTGCAGCCACCACACTGGACAAGTTTGGTGGAGGATCAGGACAGCAGGTACAGAAGTTGGGAAAGAAAGGTTAGAAGAGAATGTTCAGGTTCTTAAATGCATCCAGAGGGGAACGAAGCTGGTGGGAGGACTGGAAGGCATGGAAAGAGGCTGATGGCTTTGGATTTGCTTGGAGAAAAACAGGCTGAGGGGCAACTCTGCAGGTCCCTGGGGAGGGAAGTGGAGAGGAAGGTGCTGAGCTCTTCTCCCTGTGATAGGACTGGAATGGCATTCCCAAGGAGTGTGGCAGCAGGGCCAAGGAGGTGATTCTTCCCCTCTGCTCTGCTCTGCTCTGCCCCACCTGGAGTGCTGCACAGCTCTGGTGTCCCCAACAGCACAAGGACATAGAACTGTTGAGGCAAGGCCAGAGGAGGCCACAGAGCTGAGCGGAGACTGGAGCACCTTCCCTACGAGCTGCAGGGACAGGACAAGGAGCAATGGGGAGAAGTGGAAAGAGGGAATTGAGATGAGATCTGAGGCAGAAGTTTTTGCTGTGAGGGTGGTGAGACACTGTCCCAGGTTGCCCAGGGAGGCTGTGGCTGCCCCAACCCTGGCAGTGTTTCATT